ACTTAGGGCCTTGATGTCTTCTTAAATTTGTTTTCCTAGGAATTGATTTGTATTGTATTTTGCACAAGTAATGATCTGTGACAGATCGGAGGTCAAGGTCTTTCACCACTGATAGTTTGAGTTGTACGGGTTTAGCTCTTGTGGTTACATTGGTGAGCAAATGTCAGGGTCTTCCCACCCACCTGAGGGGCTCAAGCCATTGTTGATTCAAAAAGGGAAGGTTAGGGACGTTTCAGATTTTGTTGTTGTTGTTAAAGTTTTCACTGTTGCTCTTACAAACATTTCTTTCTGAACATCTCTTCCACCGTTTAAGAAAAGCAGCCTCCTGTGAAGGTGAATTTTGCTGTGTCTCCTGCAGATGGGGTGCTGAGATGCAATGTGCCGGTGGCAGCAGGCTCGCGGAGGCCACTTTTAGCCGCATGCCAGCACCTGCCCCGGGTGGCTTCTCCCGCCCCACCTCTGAGCCAGTCCCTCCAGCCTGGGGGTTCTGTCCCTCCACCTGGGGGAGGGATTATGCTGTCTGAGCTAATGTCTGGGAAGTGTTCTGGAGTTCCCGGAAGGAAAAGGAGAGGCCGCCCACTTGTCATACCTTGCGCTAAGGCAGGAGAGCTGCAGGACAGAGGGGAGGGACCAGGAAAAGAAAATTGGGAATTGAATCACCTCTCCACTTCACTGCTGTCCCTGGGGTCCGCCTGCTCTAGTGGCCTTGAACTGCTTTCCAAAGTGGACATCTTGTGATGTGAGGGAGAGAAGGAGAGAGGGAAGCCGCTTGCCTTTGCACCTACCTGGAACTTTCTCCGGGATATCCACAAGGCTCACGCTCACTCTCTCTCCTTTCTCAAGTCTTGGTTTAAGACTTGAAGTGTGGCCTTCACTGTGACGCCTTCCGTGGCCTTTCCCCAGCACACACTGTTTCCTTTACCTGCTGTATTTGTTTCCATAGTACTTATCACCCAGCTCCTCAGTCATTATTCATTTCGTTGTAATATAATGTAATTAATATAATATCATCTATTAACATGTAAGTTTACAAGGGCAAGAGGCTTTGTCTGTATGGCTCACTGCTGTATCTCCAGAATCGAAAACAGTGCCTGACACATAGTAGGCACTCCATAAATATTTGTTGTGTAAATGAACGGATGAATAAGTGAAGGGGCAGGATGACAAGGGAGCCAGCTGTGTCCAAGGAGCCATTCGGCCAGATGCATCCAACTGTCCACTGAGTGATCGAATTGGAGCCACTGCAAGGGCAGAGTCAAGGGGAGGTGACCAGCATTTAACCAGTGCCTGCTGTATACCAAGCAGTGTGGTAGGCATCCTAGGTTCATTATTCAATGTAAGTATCAAATTACTACATGAAGTATGTATGGTTAGCTCCATTTTACAGGTGGGGAAACTCAAGAGGTTAATAATCTTACCCAAGGTCACCCAGCCCAGTAAGTGGCAGAACTGGGATCCAACTTAGTCTATCTGATTCCAAAAAGAAATTTGAACATTTCCAAAAAAAGTCAGTGGATCACAGTGCCTCTTGTCTTTTTGCTTTTCTGTCTGTAGAATGGGGATTAATTTTCCTCATCCTTCACCAGATTTTTATCTGATGAGAATGGAAATCTGGGACAGTTGAAACACAACTACTACAAGATATGACTTGAAGTGTGGCTTTGCAAATATGGGGCTGAGAATTAGATCCCATTATTGAGTAATGTTCACAAATAAGTGAGTGGAAATCAGAGCTAGATTAAATCCAGCCAGTGGGGGTGAGGGGGGCTTCTATGCAATGCTGCGTGCCAGGCACTGGTTTCAGTAGTTTATTATTCCAGATATTTCCCTAGGCTGAGACCACAGCCTCCAGACTCAGCATATTATCTTTCGCTTAGATATATTTATGGAGCATCCGCTAGGTGCTTGGGGTAGACCAGTAGAGAGAACAAAGTTCCCTGCCCTTCGTGGAACTTCTGTCTTAGTAGGGAGAGAGAGATAGGAAATAAACAGTAAGTAATAAACATATGGCAATAAACTGTAAAGTAAATTACATGGTATATTAAGAGACGGTAAGTGCTATGGAAATAAAAAGTAGTGTAGGGGAAAGGGCTTGGGCGTTCAGTGGGGAGGTGGCCAGACTGCAGATTAGATCAAGTGGTCCAGGTGGGCCCCGTTGAAACGGTGCCGTTTGAACGAAGACCTGAAAAAGGCAAGGGAGTGAACAAGAGGTACCCTGGAGGGAGAGCAGTCCAGTCCAGAGAAAAGGCAGAGAGAGCAGCGCTGAGATGAGCTCCTGCCTGGTATATGTGGGGAACAGCCAGGAGGTGAGCTTCGGGGGAGCTGAATGGGGGGCTACCCTGACGGTGGAGACACTGGATATCCCGATGGATGGAATATGGGAGATAAGACAAAGTGAGGAGTCCAGAGTAAGCCAAGGTTTAATCTTTATATTCTTTCACTTTATTCCCTTTTGATTACCTAACATAACTCAGTATTCCCGAAAGTATTAGCATCAAAGTCTTTGGAGATTTAGCCACTATAGTTGTGCTCGTCTGCAATGTCTCTGGATTTGGGTTTCTTCAGCTATCACATGGAGGGAATCTAAAAGATAACTTTCAAATCCCTTGTGTGACTGTTTCTGAAAGATTCCTTTTTAGGAGTCATATTCCGATCTCTGGCTAGCTTCCCTCCCTCCTTCCTTCCTCCATTTATTCATCGTGGGTCTTTAAAACATTTGCTGGGACAAGAGCACTTCTTGGAGCAATGTACGTGGAGGCTGAGAAGGGAGAAAACGAGAATCTCTGCCTTTCAATAGCTCATTTCTTCTTGCTGAGGTTAGATAAGAGTGCAATAAGCAAGGTGAGAATTAGAGCAAATTAGCAAAATTCAAATAGTATAGAAGAAGCAGCTGTGGAGGTAAAGTGGAATAGTAAGTTAAAGGCTTGAGTGGAAAAAGCACGTAGATAGTTTGGGAGCATATGCAAGTTCGGGTTCAGGGAACCTGAGAAGGGTGGGAGCATGGTAAAGGGTGCTTGCGTGCTCCCGGGAAAGGGGCCGAGATGTGTCGATGAAGCTGGACTGAGAGGGGGAGGGGGTGTGGTGGAGAACTGCACACGGGGGCCAGAGGGATCTGCTCTGAGCAGGAGGAAATCTGAAGGAAGGGCTGACATCATGAAGATGGACTGGAAGGCGCTCACCCTGGCTGTTTGGTACTCTAGGAACTAGAACAGGGGAATAAGGAGGTGAGAAAAACAGCCCAGGAGACTGTTGAATTACCTCTGGATCCTGATGTCTGAAATCGTGACACCTCACTGGTCTCTCCTCTGGCTGACAATTTTGATCAAAATTCTGGGCATTAAGGTGGCAAAGAAAAGCTCATTAAACACGATCTATTTGAAGAAAAAAAAAACTATCCAAACAAGGAAATGAAATTAACCAAACAAGGAAATGAAATTTTTCCTATATTGTGGATCCAAAGTTAGAATTGAACTAAGACTACTTGCAAGAGTTTTTGTGAGGAGCTCTTAAATTAAAAAAAAAAAAAAAAAAAAAATACCAACGCCTCCATCACTTGTCTGTGAGCCATTCTGGAAACAAAGAACACCCCCAAATTGAGGTTCACGGCCAACTTTATTTCTCTCCATGCAGTTGTAGTGGTGTGATTTGCACACTTGCTGCATTCATACATGTGTTTATTCTAATGGTTCAGCTGGGCTTGGATGATGGCTGCAGTAAGCCTAAGAAAGCCCCACATTTCTCCACTCCTCCGTTTCTGATTATATTTCATAAAGCTAATCTTTTTCTTGGAAATCTACCTTTTATTTTTATTTATTTATTTTTAACATCTTTATTGGACTATACTTGCTTTACAATGTTGTGTTAGTTTCTGCTGTATAACAGAGTGAATCAGCTATACATATACATATACCCCCATATCCCCTCCCTCTTGCATCTCCCTCCCTCCCACCCTCCCTATCCCACCCCTCTAGGTGGTCACAAAGCACCGAGCTGATCTCCCTGTGCTATGCAGCTGCTTCCCGCTAGCTATCTATTTTACATTTGGTAGCACATATATGTCAATGCCACTCTCTCACTTTGTCCCAGCTTACTCTTCCCCCTCCCCGTGTCCTCAAGTCCATTCTCTATGTCTACGTCATTATTCCTGTCCTGCCCCTAGGTTCTTCAGAACCCTTTTGTTTTGTTTTGTTTTAGATTCCACACATATGTGTTAGCATACGTTTTTCTCTTTCTGACTTACTTTACTCTGTATGACAGACTCTAGGTCCATC